TATATAAAACATAGATATAAAGACAGTAGCAGTTTTTTCATTCAGGAATATGGCAGGAACTGTGAGACTTTTGTATAGAATTGTTTTATTTCCCTCTTTGATATCTTTTATTTATTCATTGGCATGCAGTTTCCAGGGAAATATACTATCATATAATTTAGATCAAACAAATGTTACGTATTTTCTAGAACCAATTGTTGAAGACAATATATCAAGTTATGGGAAAGTGTTTGTTAGAGTAAATTCAACTGGACAAAGAAGAAATGTTGCTTTTGGTTCTCTTGTGAAAAGAGAATTTTATATGGAACTTTGCCAACTTTTAGGTTATGATAATATACATTTTCTAGCTGAAGCTTGCAATCCACAAAATGGTATTTAAAATATTTTGTGTTCCAATTGAAAAAAAAAGTAATTGACCTACATAAATTATCTATATTAGATAGTTTATCACTAATAGTTGTGTTTGAAAATGATCATCACATTTTGTAGGAAAATAATATTTGAATGAGTAAATATTTCTATGTTTGTCATCCATTGTAGAAAAGAGTTGAATCAAGTGGAGACTTTTATAGCTTCGTTTTGTTTGAAATGTTTTAAACGTAATTTTCCGTGTAAGATAAAACTGAATTTTATGATTGATTGATTGATTGCAAAATAACTAAAAGAAACAAAAAAACCCCCTTAATTAATAGATATCTACGCCCTTCTGTCACCTGAGACACATCTCTACCAGCTTTTCACTAGGTACAAGAGTAAAACATTCAAATTAGTACAATTGGAAAATAGTAGTACTAATGTTTGTGAAATGGCCCAATTTTATAAAAAGAACATAACAACTCTTTTAAAATATGAAGAAAGAGAATTTGTAGTTGATTTTGCTAACAAAATGATGAAATTAAACTTAAGGAAAACTGGTAGTGACTTGACCTATTTGAAATCAATAAATTGTACTAAAAGTGATTTGAAGGGTAAGCCAAAATATTTGAAAAACAAACAAACAAACAAACAAACAAACAATTTGCTTTCATCTGACAGATATTTCCATAGAACCTATGACAGAATTTCACAAATTGTTCATTTTTAAGAAAAAACTCAAACACTTATTATCATACATGTTTTTATCAAAAACATTTGGCTACACACCAATTATTTTTGAAGGTGGACCTGTA